GATGACCCTTAAATATGGAGTACAAACATAAAAGGTTTGAGTTGAATTGTTTTGAATATAAGCCCCAAACACAAAGCATTAAACTAAACATTAGAGGTCAAACTTAGAGAGAAGAACAAAGAACTGCAACCTAGGGTGGAAACTAAACTTTAGTAGAACATTGATAAACTCCAACAACCGACAACCCAGGAAAACTGAAAACTTTAAACACTTAAAAGAACCCTGATTTTTACCACAATTGACAAACTTAAAAATAACAATCACGAGTTAAATATCAAACCCTGATAAAGTTGACCAACTTTAATTCTCACAACCACCACATATGTAGATCCAAACTGTGAACCCTAAGTTAGCTAACATAGAAGAAAACCCAAGTCCACATATATCTTAGAATAGTCCAGTCTAGAAGCCTAAGTTAGATTACTAGGGACCAACTTGATAGAATTAAGTACTAGACCCAATAAAACAAATGACCCACCCCCTAGGAGAAAGTAACCCATAATTACTGATGAAGGTATTCCAAACCACTTAATAATAAGAATGTCCTCCTTTCCCTCCGATTGCACCGACTCCCAAACAGAAGCCCGAGCCCTCCTCCATTTTGTTGCCTTGCTGACAATCGCATGATCCCTAGAAAAACAAGCTCAAGCTTTTTATTCGAAATCCACACACAAAGCGACCCTTGCTTCTTCTGCGCCTCTTTCGTTGAACAAAGAAAAGGCTATGTGAAACCCCTCTTCTCCACTTGCCCTATCCAAAGTCTCCCAAGCCATGTCTGCCAGCCAAGCCATCGTTTTAAATTTTACATTGTGTTGTAAGAAAAAAAAAATTAGTGTTGTGTTTCTTTTTATTTATTTTATTTATTGATTTTGTCGTTGCTACTTCAACATCGTCAATCGTTGTTGTAACATTGTTTGTTCTATTAGAAAAGGTATAACAAAATGGGTATTGGAGAGAATTTTGAAATGTTCATTCGATTGATTTTGTCGTTGCTACTTCAACATCGTCAATCGCTGTTGTAACACTGTTTGTTCTATTAGCAAAGGTATAACAAAATGGGTATTGGATAGAATTTTGAAATGTTCATTCGCTGAAGCTTGAGTGCCCATCCATAGGAATTAAATATGATTCGGGAAAATTGCAGACTCATGTGGAATTTTTTTAATAAAATTAAGGGATTTAAATACTCGTCATAAAAAAACTCAAATACATGTCATTCACGAAAAGTAAAGTATTGCTCGAGAAAATGCTTGCTTATGATTTGACCTTTTTAGAAGTACATTAAAGGCTTACAACGACTTTTAAGATCGCGGACTAAATATATATTTTCATCGGCGGCAATGTCTCACAACACTGTCCACAAATCTTTTAAGGCAATTGAAAAAGTAGGCATTCCCTTGTGCCCCCTAATGATGTTGACGTTAAGAGGCTACCAAAATATTAAGTGATTTGGACTTGTAAATAACTTAAAATATTAAACTTCTTTGGAACTGATGAAATAATTTAAAATATGAATTTTAAAATATAATTTGAATCTAGAGTTTTAAAAATTAGGCTCTTATGGTTAAAAAAAAACTTGAATTTAAAGCTTTCTAAGTTTAGGATCTTAAAGTTCAAAATTATCTCGAATTTGGGCTTTCACAATTTATGCTCTTAAGATTTAAAAAATATTTGGAATTTTGGGCTTTCAAATTTAGGCTCATAGAGTATAAAAATAATCCAAACATGAGGCTTTTGAAATATGAAAATTCTCCACCAGATTGGCAATAACATTTGCTAACAAACAGAAGGCAACCCTGTTAAAGCCCTAAATCACAATAGTTACAAATATTTTAAGCTCTGAATGATTTCAAAATGTATATAAACTTCATGATTATTTTCTAAGTCAATGCAATATCTTGAAAGGTGAGTCCCACTCTTAAGACTTAGAAGAGTGACACTTGAGCTATTCTAAAGTTATGCACGCTTTAGGGTGTTCATATAAGCAATTAATTTATATATATTTTCAAAATCTTGCATGTGTGTGCCTCTTGAAGTAAATTCCACATCAAATTCATGGATTAAAGATTGTGCAAGTCTTTAAAGCTTATAAATCTCTTTAAGATATTCAAATATATGAAATTAAAAACACGCATGGGCTTTAGCTAAAATTCTAAATGCTTTAACAAACAACTTAGGAATGCTACAGGGTTAAGGCTAAATTTGCACTCAAACTGTTCATATTTTGAAAGTCAATCAATTAGGCCTTTTTGTCAATAGGAAAGGAACGTAAATCTCACCCAACTAGTCTGATGCTCCTCCTCGTAAACACTGGAGTTGACGAATCTAGTAATTTTGAAAAAAATGTCCAAATCATAAGATAGGAATTTGCAAATCCAAATCTAGAGATTCTCCTCCTTATAAAGACAGGGGTTGACATGACTAACATTCTAAAGATATCAAATCTATTAAATTTCAAATGAAATCAAAACACAACATTCCCCGATGTAAATCTCAACCGAAGCAATCTTTAAAGCTGATAAAACTCTTTAAGATATTGAAATATGTGAAATTTAAAACCCGCATGAGCTCTAGCTAAAATTCTAATTGATTTAACGAACAACTTAGAAATGATGTGAGGTTAAGGCTAAATTTGCAATCAAATAGTTCATATTTTGAAAGTCAATCAAGCAGATCGTTTGTCTATAGAACAGGAATGTATATCCCACTCAACTAGTCTGATTCCCATCATAAATGTTGGAGTTAACAAAACTAGTAATTTTGAAATAAATGTCCAAAGCATAAGACAAGAATTTGCAAATCCAAATCTAGTCTGATCCTCCTTATAAAAACAGACGTCGACTTGAATAAAATTCTAAAGACATCAAAACTATTAAATTTCAAATGGATTACAAATACAACATTCCCAGATGGTGGTGTTGATTGCAAATCTCAACTAAATGAGTCACAATATTAAATTAAATTTTCAAAGTAACAGATTAAACATTAACATAAAATTAATCACTTAAAAACTTAAGCAAATCAAATCCCCCCTCCGTAATAGTTTGTTGATGGCGACAAACTTTTGATTTTTAAACTCACAAAAAAACTAATATCACATCAAATGTACCTTTATTTTCACATTCAAAATAATTTCATGCTAGTAAGGACGTGGCTTAAGCCAACTGTTTGTATGGAGTGGCCCAAAAACTCCAAAAAATAATGATCACAACAAAAGCTCTCTAAACAGGTGGTTAACCATTATATCACTTTTGTGGATGTAGCCTGCATGTTCCACAACGATTTTCTGTCATTTGAGTTGTAAATCATAATATTACATGTGATTGAAATAAAGTCTTCTGTTAGCTAAGGTCGATTTAAATTTATCCCCTTAGACAAAACCACTCTAAATCTATAACGGTCTCTTGAACGATGCAACTCATGGTTACTGATAAGAATATTTCAGTAAGGTTGACTGAAATATATCAGAGACCCTAACGACTCAGGATGACTGAGCCATGAGATCTTGATTTCGTTCATAATCATTTCCTCCACCATCCACTTTAAGTAATAAATTTTACAATTTAAAATGTTTGTTTGCTACTACTAAATGTTGAACATTCAATTTTTAATGACTAGCCTTAATCGAAAGAGCTTTCCCATTATCAAGATGGGTAATTAACTATAGGGAATTGTGCCTATGAGAAACCTCAAACCCCATATCAAAAACTAATTGCAAAATGATGGTGAAATCTCTGGGTAGTGTCTTATCTACAACTCGATCTGCCTTCTGAAATTTTGACCCTCAAAGATCTTTCTCAACAACAACAACATGTGAGAGTCTGTGGTGTTGGAATTTTTAGAACCCACAATCATGGTTAAGATTTGTGCAATATTTGGCTCGTTTTGAGGCTCGCATCAACACTTTTTTGAAAAATTTGTAATGACTCATAAATATGAGGCTTGCGCCTCACAAAATATGAGGTCTATCCAGCTCAATTCTATTGACTAATATATAATTAGAGCTAGAATTTTTCTTAAAATAAATATATTAAGAAAAAACTAATCATCAATCTTTATTTCCCATATAATTCAAACTAAGAATATAATCTATGTTGTTAATATCAATATACTCACTGTTTTAAAATCTGATAAATATTCTTATTAATTAATATTGATTAAATAAGAAGAAGATATGTGACAGTTAAAACGAGATATGCAAGAACATGCCTACACATGAGGATGAGAAGAAGAAAATAAATCGTCATGCTAATGATTCTAATAAAGACTGAATAAGTGAAAAAAGTATTGAAAATTTTGAATTAGAAATTCTAACTTTATTGGCTTATCATATCCACTTTGATGAATGATAACTACCTGATATACTAGCAGTATCAAACATATTTTGATTTGTTAATTTATTATGTTCTTCTTTTATATTTGTAGAATCATTCTTATTTTATGATTTTACATTTGGATGTTAACATATTAATTCTTTAAACAAATTATTATTTTTATCGTAATAGAATGTTAATATGTTATATTTCAACCTACTAAAAGATTAAGATGTTAAATTGTTTTTTTTTTACTACATACTTTGAGCTTAGTAGATTACTTCTTGCTTTATACAATTTGTTGATTTTGAGACTTATTCCTAGCTACATGAACAATAAAACGGCTCAATACCCAATTGCACTATTTTAAACTTCGCAATATATTACTCGTTATCTTATAATTTTTTACGGTTCTTTCTAATAGCATTTCAAGAAGTAGACACTGCGCAAGACCTTTGCGCTAAGGTGTATAATTTGGTATTAACAAGTATGTCTACAAGAAAATAATCATAACAAATTAAAAATAAACCACTAATCAACAGGAACTAACTTTGAAGCAAACAACATGGTTCAACAATCATAAAGTTGAGATGTTGATTTAGAAACATGAGCTTAAATGTCCGACTAAGATTCCATTAATTGTAGCTTGTTGTGTATAATTGAAACTTGAGAATTTAAAGGGCTTACGTTCCATGGCCATCACCATCTAGAGGAGATGGAAAATCCACTGCTGGATTAAATGCCCCAGCAGCTATGGCAGCTTTTGCAAAATGTTGAGCTCCAATTATTTTTCCATTGCAAAAGGTTCTCTTGAACTCTGGATCAATTTCACATTTCCCTCTATACCGAGGAAGAGGACCATATGGATCAGTATTGTAAGTAGAAAAACTTGGATGCTTTGGAAAAATTCCCGAGTCAACAAGACCAATAACAATATCTTCCCCTGCTTTGTCAAAGCCTCCTCCTGTCGGCCATACTCCTGTAGGCAGTCCCAAGAATTGTGGTGTATGCGTTGTTAATTTCCTTACCTTCACATCTTTCTCGACATGCTTTACTCCAGGCAATTTGCTCAGAGCCTTCGCCTAAATGTTAAATCATGGTGCATAAATGTTATAAAACAAGAACAAAGAGAAGTTACATGTAAACTCATGCAGATATAAATAAAAAATGACCCAAGAGTACAAGTTTTGCATGAGGGGTTACCTGTTCAGGAGTCAAATGTACGGAGAAACCATTGATAAGATGGCAATAGCTGTAGATCTTCTTATATGAATTAGCTTCAAAGATAGATTCAAGAAGTTCATCATGCTTTCTCTTCAGGTAAAGAGAGTATGACGTGGCAGATTCACTGCAAGGTCATAAAACAAAATAAGAACTTGGCAAAAAAAAGAAGAGTTGGTAAGTGCACAAATCAAAATATGCAGAAGAACCAACTCTGACCATGCAACAAATAAAAAATATGATAGCATTAAAAAATAATAGCAAATCGAGCCAACAAGAATTCCCAAGAGAAAAGAGATAAAATACTAGATGTTCATTGGCTTAGAAATCAGTGGAAGGGTAAAATATCACGACCCGTCCCAGGGCTTGGAATTAACCAAAGCGGGAACAGAGACGGTGAGAATTGAATTTTTTTTTATTTATTTTTTGTAACTAACTATTAATCAAATGAAAGAGCTGCTAAATCATTTAAATTAAAATAGTATTTAAATTTACCTCAGCATCTTCTATACATGTTTTCTCTTCCATCACTCATCTTTTAATCAGTTAAATTAATCTGAAAAGTTCGTTTAAAATAACAATGAGCTAAACAAGACATCGAATACTCATATTCCAAAACTACATTAATACAAAGAAAAAAAAAGTAAAATGCATGCCAATTAAACTTTTAATGAATCAATATTAACATTTGAGATGCTATTAATAAATTTTACTATATTAATAGCAAACCAATATCATTCATTATATGTACAACCGTCACAAGAACAGCGTCTAAAAATTGTGTCAATCAAGAAACATGAATATCAATATCCTTTTCCATATATTGCACGGGTACCTTAGTGTTCCACCACTAATACCATACAATGTTAAACTCCATCATATCACACATGCACATACAAACACACTATAAAAATATTGTTTTTGAATAATAAATATTTCTTTCTCAATTTCATAGAAGTCAATATTCTTGTACATTATTCAATGATAAATTAAACAAAGCTGAGCACACAAGTCATTCTTATCAAATGAACAAAATTCAGTAGAATCACAAATTATGGGTATGTGGTACTGTAATAAATGCATTTGGTCAAGTAAAAGCAAAATATTACTACAACAAAAGAACAATGAGTACTCATCTCGATCACTGACGATTCTAAATATTCTCTTCACTTATCTCCCATGAGAAATCAAAAGTCAAATGTATAAAGAATTATTATTAATTTATTATATGTTAATCTTATTATAGAAAGGTAAATTACCTTTATTTGAACATTTGATGTATCATATTATTTTAATTATTTTATTATTATCCTAATTGTTACTTTCATTTAATTATTTCTTTTAAACAATTTAAGCTGAATAAAATATTGATAATAAAGCTGGTTTTCCTAATTTAGCTTTCAAGTTACTTTATGTAACTTGTAACTTTTCTATTAGTCCTATAAATATACACACATTTACATTTATATTTCATAAATATTTATTTTAAAATAAATAATTGAACATAAACAAAATTAAACTTTAACCATTCTTACTATAAAATTTCTTTAATTTAAAACCTGATTTATTTAAACCTATTATTAATAATTAATGATTAATAATATATTAAATTTATATATGTATAATTTAAAACCCTAACCTTACCTTCAGTCTCCCCTAAGCTCGGTCTATCCCACACAATTTCTTCTTCCCTTCGTTCTCCTTTGGCTCGAACACTTCCTTTGCACATGGGATCGGGATCAACTGCACAAGCTCTCGTACGCTAGCCGCTCGACACCTCCTTCGGGTTCCGCTCCCACCTTTCTTGCTTCTCCTTCGCACCGGACTGCTCGAAGCTCGACAGAACTCCTCCTTCAATTGAACTCCAAGCACACGCACTTCCTCTCATTCGGCTTGGTCACAACAGCAAACATTCGGCACCTCTGCCTCCCATTTAATCCTACCCGCTCGACAAAGATGATTCTTCCTTCTTCAGCATCTTCTTCTTCTCTCAAAATTAGGGGGTCAAAAGTTTGTCGCACGCAGTGCTTGGCTCTCTCCTTCTACCTTTAGTCGCAACTTGACGCCGCAAAGAAATATGGCGTTCCTAATCTTCCTTCGACCATAGCGCACGAGGTCGTTGTGTCACTTCTTCGAGTAAATAAATAAGCAACACCTTGGCCTTCTTCCTCCTCTCGTCTTCATTCACCACGGACATGTCGTGCGGTTCTGACTGCGACGTTTTATAGAGCGAAATCTACCCTCTTGGCTTCCCGATCCTTCTACTTCATTTCCCAATTCTTCGGCTACCCGACTCCTCACTTCCTCTACTTCGTTTCATTGTTTCATGTTTCGACCGTTCATTTCTTTTTCCCTAAGTAACTGAAATGGAGCTTTACATAAAAATACATATTGACCTGCATACTCAGTTAGAATGATCAATGGTGTTAATTCTACTTGAGCTCACCATTCCCAAGCTATGTATGTGTGTGTGTGTGTGTGTGTGTGTGAGAGAGAGAGAGAGAGAGAGAGAGAGACAGACCTGGTTATATCCATCTCTTCCATAGAATCCGCCGCTGTTGCAGCAAATCCATCTATCCCGCCCATGTAGCTAACAACAGGTTCTCCTTCCACGGTAATAAGATAAACATCTCCACTTCCAGAACATAGAAGTGGTAGGAGCAGAAAAACGAGGAGACAGAGATCCATTTTGTTCAGAATTTATCAACACCAATTCAATGCTCCTACAATCAATGCATAAGACGCATAAGCATGACAATGCCTCAGCTGTAAATGCATAAATGATCAAGACCAAAATGCAATGGTAAACTGAAAAGCTTAAAATAGCCAATTTTTTTTAACGATTTAGATTGAAGATCTGTAGTTTGAAGTTTCAGCTTCATTAAGTATTCCAAATGATAAATCAAAGAGAAAAAAAGCAAGAGAAAATTGAAAAATTTTCTTCAGCAAGCTCAAGCTGCAGCCAAAAGTTTAATACATGCATTTTCATGTCACATAGAAGGGAAAGCATCCACAAAAAAAATTGTATGCTTATGAAACATCCAAATAATTTGTTGAGGTTTGTATTTAATATAGGATTCTATTTATGAATAGAAAAAGTCTAGGAATTCATTTGTAAATATTGTAAGGCTCAATAAAAGCCAAAGCGTTGAAATGAGGAAGTTTTTTCATAAGCAATCAATTCTATCTGGTATCAGACCCTAACCTAGCCGCCGCTCCTCTTTCTCTCACCTGTCCCTCCCGAAACCATCGATCGTGCTTCTGCTATGAAACCAGAGACGCGACGTCTGCTGGATTTGCGAGATGAGGAAGAAGCGAAGTCATTGGGTTTGTGTCGCGATTCTACTCCCATTGCTGCTGCAAGACTAGGAAGAAACGTAGTCGACGGGTTTGTATCGTGATTCTGCTCCTACTGCAAAACTAGACAAACAACTTCAGTACAAGAAAGTGTGAGTGGCTTCGGCACTGAGAAGGGCGTGATACAGTCATGATCAGAGGCGCCGAGAGGGATGGCGATCGGTTCTGTGTCGAGCGAGAGAAGGGATGACGCTTCCATGGTTTTTTGGGTAGCACAAAAGGATCGAGTGGCTCTGTCGTGCAGGAAAGAATATCGTGGTTTTATGTTTTAGCTTGCGGGACAAATAAATCGCGGCTTTGTGTGGGCTAGAGCAAACTGGATTGCACAAATTTACAGGAACGAAATTGCGTGTGCTCTGTGTGCTTTAATATTATCCTAGTGAATAGGCATGTTAGGAGACCGAGAAAGTGCGAGAGGTAAAGGAATGAAACTTTTGGGGAAGATAGATCCTAAAGTTTTGAATGTCTTCGACATAGGTGACATAGGTGAAACCAGATCTCTTTGGGGAAGATAGATCCTAAAGTTTTGAATGTCTTGGTAGGAAAACTAGTATTTCGACGAGAGCCACTACCTAAGCACGTGCTCTGACATAGGTGAAACCAGATCTCCTTGTGGATTTGAAGCTCAATGAACAGGCCACATATCTGAGTTGGTCGCGTCGGATTAAGGCTGCCCAAATAGGAAAGAGACTAGAAGAATGATGACAGGGGTTGGGCCAAAGAGTGACAATACTTAGAGGGATAAGTGAAGGAGCACACATGCCTTGCTTTACACCTGGTTACTCAACGCCGTGGTTTCATCTATCGCCTCATCAGTAGATGGAATTCGAAAAGTGAGCGACAATTGAGCGAAGCTAAAGAAGATCTATGCTGGCGTTGAGAACCACATAAAGATGCTTCAGATTCAACATGAGATATAGACAGTGGTTCAGAATGATAAATCAATTCAGGAGTACCATATAGACTTAAAGCAACTGTGGCAAGATCTTGATCACTACTCAACTATATCGAGTTTTGGTGATCCAGAATGTAAGAAGGGAGAGATTTTTGCACATATGAGGACTATGCAGTTTCTGGCTGATCTAAACCTGACCTTTGATCAAAGGAGATCGGTTCTCCTAGCTAGGCGATTATTCCTATACAAGATGAGACCATTGCTGCAATGATACAAGAGAAGAGTCGCATGAAGCTACACTCTAAGTCGAGTGATTTTTCGGGTGCACAATCAGCATTGGTTATTGCGAGCCCAGGTACGCTAGGTGTCCAGGGGGAGACTCGCAAGTGTTACAACTGTGGTGAAGTTGGTGATCTGAGCAAGGCCTGTCCTAAGCCACCTAAGGAGAGAGAGAAGTGGACGTGTACAAGATGGAGCTCGCGGTCGTGGTCATGGGGGTCGGAAAGGTGGAAGAGGGGGCTATCAGACAAATTTGATGGTGGCAGAGGACGAGAGAGAGATGTGTAAACAGAGAAGGATCACGAGTTATTAGAGTTGTTGAAAAGGAAGCAGAAAGCAGCAGGAGATGGAGCTGAGGATCTTTCAAATCCATCGACAGCAAAGGTACTGGTGACACACTTGCTCTTGCCTCTATTTCGATCACAGGATCATTAGAGTGGATCATAGATTCTGGTGTTTCTCGTCACATGATAGGTACTGCTGGAGAATTCTCTTCATATACACATCTAGCAGCACCAGAGAGTATACAGACTGTTGATAGTACAACACAGCCTGTAATTGTTAAGGGCACAGTGAGATGTACCAATCATATGACTTTGTCTAATGTTTTAAATGCTCTTTCTTTTCTAGTAAACCTGTCATCCATTAGTGTCATTACTCCAGTTAAAATGCATTATTTCTCTTGATATTCTTCAAGTGATCTTCCAAGAGAAATGGAAGGGCTGGACACTGGACTGAAACATGGCATAGCAGAAGCTGGTAATTGGACCGAGAGGGGATGGACTTAACTCTGACATCCACGGTGGAAAGTGTTATAGTATGAGAATCCAAGAAAAAAACGTTGAGGATGTGTTACTGTTACATCACTAATGTATGAGACATTTTATTCTTTGTTTATTAAGTCAATTGTATCCATCTATGTATGAAAAATCAAATAAGAAGAAACGGGTGTGTGATGCTTGTGAGTTTGGCAAGCTCATTAGGAGCTCTTATGTAAGTTTTGAGAATAGGAGCTCTGGTGTGTTTGATACATTCTGATATACGGGACTTTAATCTACTAGTTCTATGAATGATTATCGTTATTTTGTTTCATTTATTGATTACTTTTCTCATGTTATTTGGATATACTTGATGAAATAGAAGTGTAAGATGGTTGCTTACTTTAAAGATTTCCACAATGTAATCCGGAGCCAACATGGGGCAGTTGTGAAGGCATTGAGATTTGATAATGAAACAGAATATATCAAGAAAGCATCCAGGGACTACATGTCAGCTCAAAGGATACAACATCAAACCACATGCTCATACAAACTAGCACAAAATGGGTGACAGAGAGGAAGAATCGGCATCTTCTAGAGGTTGCCTGGAGCATGATGATGACAATGAATGTCACACGGCAATTATGGGGGCAAATAGTGTTGACAGCCGCTCAATTGATAACCAGGATGCCCTCAAGAATATTGGAGTGAAAGTCTCCTTGTTAGATGTTGAAAGGAGAATAGTGGTATCCTTCAATTGAAGGTATTTGAAATTTTATGTTTTGTGAAAGACAATAGACCATCTCTAGAGAAATTGGATCTCAGAGCTGTGAAATATGTGTTCGTGGTGTATTCTGTTGTTCAGAAGGGTTATGTATTCTGGAGCCCGATTGAGAAGAGACTCTTTATGAGTATGGATGTGTCATTCAGAGTGTTTGAAGCACAGAGACTCTTTGTGAGTATGGATGTGTCATTCAGAGTGTTTGAAGCATACTACACTCTAGAGATAAATTCACCCTTTAATGACTCAACAGTCACTAGAGATATGAGGCAAGAGAGTGAGTCGTAGTGGTGATAGAGTGGTGTAAGTGGGAGAAATGTCATGTCCTGTGATGTGAGATGAATCAACTGAGGAGACAAAAATCAAAGAGATTGACCCCAGAGGAGGTGGGTTTCAGATTGAAGATGAGCCAAGGGTATATACATGGAGGAAGAAACAAACTGAGGGAACAGAGTCTGCAATGTCAATAAGTCCCTTGTCCCAATCTTTCTCAGCATTTGAGACACCTAAAACTGAGGGAACAGAGTCTGCAATGTCAATAAGTCTCTTGTCCTAATCTTTCTCAACATTTGAGACACCTACATTGTCCACCTTTGATTCAAAACTCACAGGTGATATTATTCCTCCTCCGTCCCAGGTATTTGGAAATGTATGTTTTATAAAAGACAACAGGTCATCTGTAAGGAAGTTGGATCCCAGAGCTATAAAATGTGTGTTCGTGGGGTATTCTGCTACTCAGAAGGGTGGGTCGTATATGCTAGAGCCAGATTGGGAATAGACTCTTTGTGAGTATGGATGTGCCATTTAGAGAGTTAGAAGCATACTACACTCTGGAGATGAATTCACCATTCGGTGACTCAACAGTCACTGGAGATATGAGACAAGAGAAAGTGAGTAGTAGTGGTGCAATTGGGTGAAATGTTGTCCTGTGATGAGAGGAATCAACTGAGAAGACAAAAATCGAGGAGATTGACCCCAGAAGTGGTGGGATTTGGACTGAAGATGAGCTAAGGGTGCATACATGGAGGAATAAGCAAGCTGAGAGAGCAGAGCCTACGATGCCAACAAGTCCTTTGTCCAGGTCTTCCAAACTCTTGAGACACCTACACTATCCACCTTTGATTCAAAACTCTCAGATGATATTAATTCTACTCCACACCGACCCCTAAAAGAATATTAAGAAAAACCCCCGAAAGCAATGCGGGGCATCCTACCGATCGTTTTGGGCGGAAACTTGACATTGCGAACTTAGTTTCTTATTCTAACATCTCACCTTTGTATGGAGCATTCATTGTATCATTGGACTTTATCTCTATACCCAACCAAGTATTGACAGGTTGCCAAAGAGGATCACAAGTGGAAAACGGCGATGCATAAAGAGCTTGAAGCTTTTGATGAAAATCACATGAGAGATTGTACCACTACCAGCAGGGAAGAGACTAGAATGCAAGTGGATCTTAACGATAAAACAAATTCCAAAAGAAAAGGTAGAGAGGTACAAAACACGACTAGTGGCAAAAAGGTACAGTCAAACATATGACATTTATTACGATAAAGCCTTTGCACCAGTAGCAAAGATCAGCAAAGGTGAGGACACCGACTTCTCTGTCAGTGAATGATGGATGGTTACTCTACCAACTGGATGTGAAGAAT